ACCGATGTCCCATGGTTAAGTCCAGGTGACAAAGGGTCAGCCCGTATTTTGCACTGCACATTTGGTAATAAAGACTTTTGAGAGCGTTGAAACTTGGTTTTTTTCTTCTCGGCCTGCATCGGTTCCCGCCCTTGACGTATTTAAATCAAATCGCCTGTGCGTCTTTCTTTCAAAGTATTTGTTGACGTTGTGCAACAACACCACAAATATCTATATACTCTTACACAACATCAACATCTCATCTATCGCAATTTTCTTACCATCATCGGCAGTATTCAAGAGAACTGCCTCACTCGCCACACACAAACATCATTGTCGTAACCATTTGAGAACTTCTCATCTCCGACTCACTCTCACAACATCTCTTCCTGGTACCTGCTTGTACCTCTCCGGCTTCAAGCTAATAACCAAATTGTCGGGAATCCGACCAAGAAAAAAAAAGAGGACGCGATCGAGCCCACCCCTGCTGCCCTGCCGCTTTGCAGCATTCCGTGTGGTGCATTCACACAACAGTCTCAAAAAGGTCGTTGCGTTGCAGGCCTTGTTGTTACCTAACAGGCTGGTGCTTTGACTAATAGAAAGTCTCTCCATCAAGCTTTCACCAAATCAATCAATCAGACAGCCCTGTCTGTGTCTGTGTGGTGCTTGCTGCTGCCGCCCTTTCGCCATCTCACTGCTGCATCGCGCACCTGACTGGACTGCGGTTGCAATTCCCCGGGTTTAGCCAAGACTCTTTTCAAACTGTCGTTGTCTTTCCCCATGGCGGTCTCCAAGCCGAGACCAGCTCATCTCCATCTGCCATTTGTACCCCTGAGGGCGTCGTCGAGGGACTGTTCCCCCTCCCCAACAGACTACTTAACCATGAACAGTCGACCCTCCACCCCTGACCGGGTCTCCCGTTGTTCATTTTCATCAATCAGGGAGAACGAAAGCATCTTACCCCAAACATTCTCGAGTACCAAGATATCATCGTATCTTGATACCGAAGCCGTCATCGACGACATCCCATCCACCCCCAGCCCTACCGAATCCACCAGCAGCTTTTCTAAGGAGGATCACAAGATGATCCAGACTCAGACAGTCACCGCCCACTTTCAACCACCCGTTACCCATCCCAACAGCAAGCTCCTTGGATACTGGACCCCAGCCGACTCCTTCAAGGGCTGGAAGGAGATCCAGGTCAAGGGAAAGATCTCCAGCAAGAGCTTTGGAGATCTCCAGGTCCTCCACCAAGCTTTTAGGCTCACCCCCAAGCCCACCCCGAAGCGCGTTGGCCCCAAGCCCGGCGAGGCCCCCATCGAGAGACTCCCCACTGAAATCATCAGTAAGTCTAGCCTTGCCCCCCACATTCGACCCAGTTGAATGTACTGTTATCGCCGTTAAAAAGTGCTGTTTTCGATTGTTGAAAGAGCTATTTTATAACTCCTCAACACAAACTGGAAACGGCCCAGTCGTGCCAGACTCGGACAACGTTCGCGTCATGCTGGGATGTTCGTGCCGGGCTCGAGGGATTATCGAGGTCACAGTACTTTTTTAATAAGGTCGACAGTACATTTGGCTGGCTTGTCCATGTTGCGTCTTATACTGACTGATGCCGTATTATAGCCTCCATCATCAATCTCCTCGCCATCGATATCCCACCAAATGGAATCTCAAGACGCAATGTCGATCTCATGTCGTTGTTGCTGACTTCCAGGACGCTCCATATTGCGACCCTGACGACACTGTACAGCAAGATCACTATTCCTCACTCGAGAATCTTCCAAAAGTTCCTTTCCCACGTATCTGCCCACCCAACATTGGGCACCATTGTCAGGCGACTGGACTTTTGCCACTTTAACCCCGCCCAACTCTTCCTTACCGCCTCGGAGCGGTCGAAAGCACGTAACCTTACGTCCGAGACCCTCCTTCGATGCTTGGAGCTCACCCCTAACCTTCAGGAGTTCCTTGGACAAGAGTACATTGACGATGACCTCGATGCCAGCGTGTTGAAAAAGTTGTTCTTGGGATTGGACAGGCTGCAGGCTGTGGACTTTTGCGGTTGCACGTCAACGAAATTCAAGGAGGCCTTCTCGTCGATAGTATCGCCTGACTGGCCCGCTGAGCTTTCGATCCGTCGCCTCTCCCTGCACAAGTGCCTCACACTTCCCGCCTCCATTTTCGAAGTCCTCTTGCCCAGACTTCCACACCTCACCCACCTCGATGTTGCAGGAACCCGCATTACGGACGCCGCCCTGGCATCGATTCCCCCGACGGCCAGGCTTACCCACCTCAATCTGGCCAAGTGCACCATGCTCTCGGCCAGAGGCGTGATTGACTTTTTGGCTCACCACCCCGCGGCCAAGGGACTTGTCTTCCTGAGCCTTGCTACTGACGCCAGAAGCCACCAGCTCTTTGATGCCGAGAATATTGCCGAGTTGTTGCCCATCCTTCCCAAGACTCTCAAGTCGCTCAGCTTGAAGGGCAGCAGGATGGACTCATACTCTATTGATCTTCTCAGGCCTTTGACCAAGCACCTCGAGGAGTTGTCTGTTGGCCGCTCGCTTTCCCTCAAGGACATTAACCGCCTCTTCGTTCCCGACGAGGACAATGATGATATCCAGATGCAGATCGACTGGGTTCCCCACAGCCTCAAGTACCTTGATCTTTCGGATCTTTGGGGCACCGAGCTCGATCTCGTTTACCTCTTCAACAGCAATTGCGCCATCCTCAAGGGGTTCTCGGAGCCGCTCGAGGTCGTTGAGATCGCCGAGGACGTGTTCAAGCGGGTGACCAAATCGGCGGCTGCTGTCGAGAAGAGTGGCTGGCACCTTACGGAGTGCGGCATTCGCGGGTGGATGGTCAGGCAGCCTAGCAAGGACGTTGTCATTAGCAAGAAGGACGACGGCAGCCGGGGCTGGAAGATGGGAGCCGATTCGTGGGGAATGAGAAAGATTCCCGTTGCGCGGTCGGATGTTGGCGGCATGTATGGATCGTACATGTTTGGTCGGAAGCTTTAAAGAAGCTCATTTTTTCGGTTTTTGTTTGAAGCATTCATCTGCTGTTTTTTGTTACTGCATTGCAAGGAGTTTTATGGTGGAAAAAAGGGGGAAATTATTTCTGGCGTTTTTTTCTTTCTTTCTTTCTTCTGTTTCGAGGCATCATCATCAGCGTACCAAATTTCGTTGCATTTCTCTCTCGGAGTTTTGACGAAGCGAGCGATTTTTCTTCCTTTTTTTCTGGATGAAAGGGATATTGAGCGAGCGGAGTTCAAAGGGGAAAAAAGAGAAGGGTCTATCATGATTTGAAGAACAAAAAAAAAAAAAGGTTTGCTGTTTTTATTTGGCTTTTGATACCTCTTTTAAGTTTTTTGGACTGGAAGAGCGAGGTTTGGTTGTGGACAATTCCCCTCATGGTTTTCGATTTTATGTTTTGAGATTTAGCAGGAGCAGAGAAGAGAGTGTGTATTTGAAATTGGAAATGCGTCTATATTTGAAAGAATTATCTTATGCATGATGATTGATTTATAAGTGAGAGGATTTTCGGGGCAAGGGGAAAACAGATAAGGTCCCGACCGGATTACAAGAATTGTGAGGGTAATTTTGGGATTTGAATTCCCTTCTTCTGCTTGTGACATGATGTGTGGGGGTGGGGGTGGGATGAAAGTGTCCCGTGGCGATGGTTGGACAGGGGTGACAGGGGGTGTGGTCAATGAGATAAGCTTTTTCCCCCTTCATTCGTTGTTTCTTGGGTGCCGTCTGCCGCAGATGGATCGGAAGTTCTCGGGAAGTTGACTTGACGTGAAGCTGAAAACGAAAGGCTGATGACTGACGGACGTCGTTGGGCTGATCATAACGTGAAAAAGTGCCATGGGACCGAGGAGAGGAGATGTGTGTGAGATTTCCCGCTTTTACTGGAAAGGGCAAACTCGTAACTTGGTGGGCTAGAGCAGTCAGTTCAAGTTCACAAGACTTTTACTCTCTGAGAAGTCTTGGACTACCAGGAAAGTTATGCCTCCAGCCTGTATCGAAATAAGAAGACCAATAATTTGAAGGTCAGGTCAGGCTACTTGCTGCATACTGATTAGCACTTCCTTTTCTTGCATCATAGGAGTTAAGGCAAGTCTAGGAGAAGGGGGGGGGGGGGGTTTGAGGCCTCGGGATTGAGATACGTTGTGGAAATTGGGATTATCTAAAAGTCATAGAAGGGGAGGAACTTTTTGATGAGATATTGAGTTCGTCATTTCCCTCTCTCCAAATCTCTTAGCTGCTCTTTTTTTTTCCTTTTAATTCTCTATCTCTTACTAAACTACTCAATTTTTATTGATATATCCCTTTTGGGGCATTTTCTTGTAAGTGAAACCTTGAAACTTGACGTTTGTTGAAAACTTGAGAATTTCATATTGGAAGCTATGGAAATGTTGAGCCAGAAAGAATAAATATATATATATTAACTTTGAATAGGTATTGTGAGGAAAACCTTCACAACACCAAATGCCAGTAAAACAATATTGACAAGGTGTAGCACAAGTATCATATAGATTACTCAAGTTCCCCCAGACGTCTGGAAGGGGTTAATTATATATTTGAAGCGATGAACACAATCATACTTACACGTCCATCCATTTCGGAAGGCAAATCCAAACTTTATTTATAGAAATAAAAACCAGCTCCTGATAACCAGGATAAATAGTGACTTCTATTATCCTTACCCTTATTTTAAAACGACTATTTGGAAAGAAGATTTTTCTAATCAACATTACTGGCATATCCAACAACGCACAAGCCACTGAAAAAGACAAAGCTAATATATCACTATAAATACAAGCTCAGATAATCCTCCCACCCCCATCAACTATCCGGTAAATCTACTAACTCTTCCCTCCTCAGCCACCATCGTCACCAACCTCCATAAACTCCACCATAACCAGAATCTCATAAACAGGACCCCCCCCCCCCCCCCCCTTCAAGGGGCTATTTATTTTAGATTTCTGGCTCTGCCAATTTAACCACGTTACTACAGCCCCCTTAGCTCAGCGGTCAGCGTTTGTCTTTGTCTTTTCTTATAATAGCGTATTATTGTTATCCAGCGTATTGTGGTTTAAGACCAAGCGAAAGACGTCGGTTCGAATCCGACCGGTGGCATAAAAACAATCTTTTCTTTTCTTTCACTATCCTTATATTACAAGACCGTTGTCTTTGCTCAATGCTTCGAAAGGAATATGGAGCGAAGCCCATTACTACAATCTATATTGGGGTTATAGGGTCAAGTCCCTGAATTTCCAGTCCTCGTTTCGCTCGATAATCTATCTTATTGATATAATGGTTCCGAACAATGCACGGCGGCTGATATGGTCACAAACAATTTCCCTCAAGGTTGTTCCTCTGACTATCGAGTCGTCAACCAAGCAAATTGTCTTGCCCTTCAACTCGGATACAATGGGTGAGAGCTTGCGGCGAACAGCCTTCTTGCGAGCCGTTTCCACGGCTTCCACAAGTTCTCACTCAATATAGGCGCCTTGAAGGTCAATACGGGCAGTTTGGGGTCATGAGCCTGGAATACAGTAGGTTGTGGAATACTGGTTGGATAAAAATGGCTTTGGAATACTGGTTATAGAATATTGGCCTCGGAACATTTAGGTGGTTTATGTTGAATGATGAACTTGGTGATTGCTTCCTGGCAGCCAAAACCATGCCATTGCCTTTCCACGAGCCGAGCCACGAACAATACTCACATGGCACCCTAAATCTCTCAGCCAATGGACAGACGAAAAAAAAGAAAAAAACTGTAAATTTTCAGTATAAAGAGAGAGAGAGAAGCTCCTGCCAGATTCGTCCTTCTAAAAGAATTTCAAACCACGTCATATTGGAGCTTTGCTCTAATAAAGATTTATGAATGTGTTGTTCCTCAGACCATTCATTCCTTTTGACTCTGAAACTAACCACCCAAGCCACTTTACATCAAACTGGAAAGAGAAAAATAGGCCTCCCTAATGTTCGGATATAATGTACAAAACAGTAAATAAGAGAATGGTTCTTCCCCCTTTTTCATCTAGTAATTAACAACAATTCATTCTCTCAAGATAATATATATATCATCGTGGGTGTATCCTATTTATTCATAATCCTATAATGATATATGTAAAGAATACTGGAACGGCTCTAGAATAAAAAATACTGGAGGATGAAAAAAATGGTCTCTCTCTCTCGTGGAAAAGACGAAAGCATCATAATTCTTATATCGGAACGATCAATGATAACACCCACTCTCCAGTTCTAAGGTTCTGTTTACCTTTTCCATCCCGGCTTCATCAACACACAACAGTCACTTTAACGGCTTTTGCATCAGAAATATAAAACTCAATTGCTCAAAACAACAACAATAAACATATATATACTTCACATATCTAACATACTTACTTACTATACACACACACACACACACACACACACACACACACACACACACAGAAACCCAACATCATATCAATCCATCATCTTTTTCCCCAACACACAACTCCCATTTTTATTTACCATTCCCTCACTATACACAAGACAAAAAAACCTCAAACCCCCAAATCACCTTTAAAAATCCTGTGTCTCGTCGATGCGTAGCTTTATTGCTCAATTCTTTTTTTGCTCCGAAAAAAAAGGGGACCTACTCCCCCCAATCCTACCGCCCATCCTCATCACTTCATAAGAAAAATAAGAACAAACAATAGTAAAAGTTCCTCGCCTCCTTATGCCTTGCAATAAAAATCGCCCAATAAATGAAAACCAAAATGAAAAAGCACCAAAGTTCCTCCCCCTTTTAATACAAATTTCAGTTGCCTCCCACGCCACCAAAGGATCCAAAACAGAATTGCCTAGGGCAAAATAAATACAACCAACCAACCTCCTCACCTCAGCTTCACCTCCTTCCACCCCTACTACCAACTCTTTCTTTACATTCATCACAATACCATTTTGCTAAAAACACACAAATAAAAGTCAGCATAAAATCCCATTCTCATAATCAGAAACAAACAAAAAAAACTCACCATTCCCCTTCGGAGCAACTTTCAACCCCACACACTCCAAATGAAACCATTCCCTCGCGCATCCTTCCCCATCACACGCCACCATCTCACCATAACTAACCCCATTACATTTACAGTACCTCGGCTCATCTCCATCCGGTTCATCTTCATCATCCTGAGTCTGAGCCTCATCCTGCTGAGAGGAACTAAGCACAGGCTGCTGCTGTGGCTGCGCAACTTTTTCCAAATCTTTTTGTTTTTCTGCCGATTTATTGCTAGTAGTAGCAGAAGCCGGCGTGGTAATCACAGGAACAGGAGTTTCTTTTGCTGGTATCGGAGCAGTAGCTGCCGCCGCCGCCGAAACAGAAGCTGCCTTTTTATGACTTCGTTTTGTAGTTGTCGTGGTAGTAGTAGTAGTAGTCGTTGTAGCCGTAGCTGTACCCGTAGCAGATGATGTAGAAGATACAGCATCTCCATTAGTATCACTATCCTTCTTGTTATCTTTATCCTTGTCCTTGTCCTTGTCTTTATCCTTGTGACTGCGAGACGACCTAGACCTGGAAACCACAGGAGCAGTAGCCGTAGGGTTCGCTTCGGCAAATGTTGCCATAGCCGGTGTTGATGGCTTGCTTGCGCGGCCACTTTTAGTCTTGACTGTACTTGGTGCAAGTGGAGGCTGGATAGCAAGAGGTGTTGCTTCCTTCTTTGAGTCGCTTCGTTCTTCGACAACCGGCGGTACCGCAGACGGCGTAGCAGCAGCTTTCGAGACGTTTTCCTTTTTAATGGGAACCGGCGGAGGTTCCATTACGGGAAGAGGAATCTCGGTCTCCTGTTTTGGTGGCTCGGCTTTGCTGGGTACTGGCGTAGGCGTTTCTTTTTGTGCCTTTGCGTTTGCCTTTGCGCCGTTGCTTTGTGGAGTCGCCTCCTGTGCTTCCTGTGTAGTTCCATTCGTCTTCGCTGACGCCTCGGATGGTGGTCGCTGGGGTATACTTTCGGCTTTGTTTGTAGTAGAGTTCTTCCGCGCGCGGGAAGAAGCAGGTCGAGGAGGAGCAGGAGCAGGGAGTGCTGGTGAGGCCTGACTGCCTTGGGCAGGTTCTGCAAAAGTCCCAATGACAGGCGAGGATGCGATCGATGGTGACATGGTCGCAGTAGTCCTGCTCTTCTTTGCTTGGCCGCTCGATGTAGGTAGTGCCTTGCGCTTCTTCGGACCACTTTCGGGCACAGGGGTCTCTCTCGGGCTCGTTGTCTTTGGTTTTGTGGTATTGGTCCCAAACACAGTACTCATGGCCCCCGCCGGCGTCGCTCCATTGGATGTTTTGGCAGTCTCAACTTTGCGTCTCTTGGCCGGAGCAGGAGCAGCGGGCGTACCCTGAGTGATCCCAAGGCCAACCGGAGCAGCTGGTTCAGCTGTGGCTGCCGCCGCTGCTGCTGCCGCCTTCCGTGACTTCGCCCCATGTGTTTTCTTTGCGGGTTCAGGCCCCTTGTCTCCATCTGCATCGGCAGCTTGCGTCTTGTTATTCTTCTTGGCAGCGATTGCCTGCTTCCGGTCGTTGCTTCGCGCCGCCGCCTCGTCAGCCAAGTGTTGAGCGGCCGCAGAAAGTGTCGCGACGGCCTCGCGGCGTGATCGTTCGGCTTTCTCGTTCGTCTTGGCTTGTTGTTGCGCTTGTCTGTTGTCGACGTAGGCCCAGTGGGTGGTGCTGCCCCATTTGGCCTCGTCGCTGAATTCGCTCTCGAGACGCGGCCAGATCTCGTCAATCCGCCTCATCTGTTTCTCCAAGGCATCATTGGCAGTCAAAAGAACGTGGTTCTTTTCTTCGAGCGACACCATCATTTCTTGCAGTTTCCAACCAGTCTCGAGAAAGAGCTGTCTCCGCGAAGCGAGGTTGGAGGAGGCTCCGACGCTGCTGGTTTGGACGCTCATCGGGGTGGAACCGGGAATGACGCTGTGGGACGCATCGTGGAGGAGTGACGAGGTTGTTTCGGCGGAAGAAGGGGTGTCAAGGGCATCGCGAAGTTTTTCGAAGAGCTTGCCCTCGTGCTGAAAGATCTTGGCGTCAACTTCTTTTAATAACGTGAAATGGCGAACTATTTCTTTGGGAAGGGCCGTAATGGCATCGGCGAAGTGTGTGACACCTGGGAAGACGTTGATGGGTTGTTCCTGAGCGGGAGTACTCGTGAAGGAGTTGCCGCGATTGAGCGACGAGTTGCGCGGCGGATTGATTCGCGTCTGGCGCACTGGTTGAGCTCTGCGACTGGAGCTACCGCCGCTCTCGGGCGCAGGAGGTTTTGCCGTCTTCATTTGTATGACGCTGTGTGTATGTTACCTTCTTTGGAGAAGATGTTGGATCGTTTGGGGTCTAATCGTCGAGGTCGAGTGTAAAAGACGGCGAAAGAGATCGTGGGGTGTGTGTCGAGGGTACGAGTACGACGGGACGGGGTAGAAGAAAGGAAAATGGACGGATCTCGATGCACGTCGCGTTGTCTCGAGAAGCTTGCAAAGGGATTCCGTGAATCAAAGCATTGCTGTCGACTAAAAAGTGTAAAATAACAGCGGTTGAGACCAGACAGAATCCAGGTCACCTTGTTGTTTTCGTCAGAAAAAAAGAATGGGTGGGTAGGTGAAAGAGGCTTGAACCTTTTGCCTAGGCACCGTACCGCACTTTACGCTGCTGAGCCGGCGCGCACAACCGCCCGCACCCAGTGGGACATTCCAGACCGCCCGCTGTCGGCCCAAATTTCTGAGCTTCTGATACGTCACAGTCCCATCTGGACCGATAAGATAAGGATCATCCGAGCGCAACCGACTTTCCATCAATTAAGGCAATTGATTGAAGACAAAGGGTATTTCTGCTGTAAATAAACCGTTCGACCATCTTTTTTTCTAACGCCATACAATCGCTGCCGCGCAAATTGCGCTTTCTAATTTCCAGTCCAACAAATTAAACCGTGATATCAATTCTATCGCAACCTCCCCCCGCTGACACGCCCAATAATAATGAAAAAGAGAGATACGGAATACATGTTATCAAGCCGACTTTACTCGTCTTCGCGGCCTCTCATCACGCAAGTTTTGTTTTTTTCTGTATTGCCACTCAACAAGCACCGGAAGGAAGTGCCGGAGATTGA